GCACCAGTCTCTTGGGAACTCTCCCTCGAGAACCAGAAGGTCTAGCAATTTCCCAGACTCGGGAAGCCCTGTAGTTCTGAGCTGAAGGGGCCCATCCCAGCCTTCTAAGGCAGCAGAGGCAGGTTAGGGGAGGGGACCCTCCAGGCCAAACTGAGTGGTTGAGTCTGTCACACTCCCCCAAGAAAGCCCAGCAAACTCACTGTTTCTCCTCACTAAATTGGGTGCAATCTTTTCTTTGGCCTATGACTGGCACTTTGGGATGAACAGACATTTGGTCATGTCACCCCAGGAAAAGTCAACAAAAACGTGCATGGAAACCTAAAAAAGAAAAGGAACAAATGCATAGGTGTGTATGCCTGTCATCTGTGGGAAACACGACTCAAATTCTGCAGTAATCGAACTGAGACTCTCGGTAGCAAAGATGGCCATCCTGGGTTACATAAAATGAAGACAGGAATGAAGGGAGTCTCATCGAGGCCAGCGGCCTGCACCTTCAACTAGGTTTTGCTAACACACCTTAGGGACTGTAAGAGCTTTGTAGTTTGAGGGCCGGAGTGGGTGCCTCCACCCACCTGTACACACCTCACACCCTGGGCATAGATTACGCAAGCCTTCCCAGTACTCTTTCATACAAGTCTCAGGCTGGCCTTGAACTCCTGGCTTCAAGCAATTCTCCTGAGCTGGATGGCCTGCCATCCCAACAAGAAAACCAAACCAAACCCCAATGAGCAGTCAGGATAGTGCACACACCCTCGGAGGTCAGAGGATTAACTTGTGGGGTTGCTCCTTCCGTGTGGTACAAGGACTCTGGGCAGCTCAGTCAGTCAGCTGGCTACCAGCCGGGCCTTTTCACACATCGGGCACTTGTTAATGATTTACTTTTGAACTTTATGCAAATGAGTGTTTTGCTTGTATGTTCCTGTGTGAATCACAATGTGCAGTGCCCACAGAGGCCAGAAGGTGTCAGATCTCATGTGGGTGCTGGAGACGGAACACAATGTGCAGTGCCCACAGAGGCCAGAAGGTCAGATCTGATGTGGGTGCTGGAGACGGAACCCGGGCGCTCTGACAGAGAGCTCTTGACTGAGCTGAGCCATCTTCCCGTCTTTCCTATGGTGTCTGAACTCAGTGTCTTAGGAATCTTCTCATGAAGGATTCTTGCTCTCCAAAGCTCTCAGGAGCTCGCCCTCTGCATAAACAAGAGCCCGGAGTTGGGTGTGAAAGCTACTGTCAGTCACCTTTGCATCCTGATTGTTTGTCTATGTAAACAGGGTGTCACTATGTCACCCTGACTGGCCTGGAACTCAACAGGTCCACCTCCATCTGTGTCCTGCGTGTTTGCGCCACTGGGCTTGACTTTGCCTTAGCTTTTTAAAGCCTGGCTCTGCTTCAGACACGAGGCACACACCTCTCATCAAACAGGACAGGGTGAAGTGTCTAATACTTCATATAAACTTGGTGAAGATAAGGAACTGGTTGGATAGAAGGAAAGCGCCTAGCGGTCGCAGCTTGGCCCTGACTCAGGTCCAGCCATTTCAGAGGAGAGCCTGGCTATGATCAGTGAGTCCATCATGCCTGGGCAGGGACTCTAGCTACCAGAAAATGAAACTGGCCTTCAGTCTGTTTCCCACATCACTGACCTGGTCAGCTAGATGCTTAGCTAGCTGAAGACTGACTGATTCAAGGCTACGTAGCACTGGCTGCTCTAGCAGAGGCCCAGGTTCCATTCCCAGCACCCATATGGTGACTCACAACATCCATAACTCCAGTTCCAGGGGACCAGCTTTCTCTTCTGGCCTCTACAGGCACTGCACGGATGTGGTACAGAGACACATATAGGTAAAACACTTATACACATCAAAAATATTAATCTTTTAACAGTTAGCTGTAAGACACTAGAGCAATACTGCATAAACCTCATGTACCACATGCAGATCCAGAAAGCCTCTGCCCAGAGTGACTATGGGGTGGAGGATGAGGGTGCTGGCCTGCTAACAAGTCCATTGGTTATAACCATTCAGTGACCAATATGTATAGGTGGAAAGAAACTTAGAACAAAGCGAGCAGAAGACCTGCTACTGAGGTAGGACCAAGCACCCCAGAACATCTTCATCGCCATGCACACCACCAGATGAGCCGCCAAAAACCATGCCATGTGACAGCAGTGTGACCACGAGCACACTTTCAAAGCCAGGAAGAGGGTGGAGGTGCGGAACTTGCAGGCAGGAGAACCAGGAAGTGTGTGGAGGACGAACTGCTGTGTCTGCCTGGTCAGATCATCACAGACTGCCACATGCATGTTGTGGACAAATTAAAAAATAATGAACACACCTCCCCCCAAAAAAACAAAACAGAAAAGCACCATGCTGGAAATTGATGCATTCTGAAAACTATCTTCTGGCCAGGCTGGCTACGGTGTCTGAGGTGTCACTCCCGGGGCCTCGACCAGGAGCCCTCCAGAAGCAGGGACAGTACATGGTGACGCCATTCCTTCCACTCAGGCCATGTTAGGACAGCGAAACTTAGCTCTCACCAGAGTCCAGGTGAAAATGATGCAGCCCTTGACTGGCCACAGCTGCTGCAGGATGGCTATGCCCTGATGAGAGGCCCTGGACCGCACTCCTGGCACACCATGGCCTCTTGCACAAGCTCTTGCTTTTGGTACTGTCTTGGGGACTGTTGTACCCTCCAAGATGGGTCTTGCTTACCATGAAGCCTGTAGAACCCCGAAGGCCCTAAAGAGTGGACACTGCTGCCAGCCTGGGGCATGGCCCTTCTGAGCTGCTCAGTGACCTAAGGCACCCCTCATCTGAAGAGTCTTAGGTCACAGGGCTGCCCCTGGGTCCTAGGTGATACATACAATTCCACAGTTCTCCGTTGGTGGCGTACTTCCAAGGGTAGGAGTAGACAGGCCGCACATTTGTCAAGGCGGCTGACAAAGCCACCTGCAGACATTTGTCCTGCTTGTCAGTGTTGTAAGGAAGGGATAAAAAGAAGGCTTATCATTCAGGTTGTGCTGGGCAATGGGAGAAAGGAGACAGCACTTTTGCAGCTCAGAACAGGATGTAGGAGGGTCTTCTATCTATCTGTTGTTTTATTGGTTAATTAATAAAGAAAACTGCTTGGCCTGATAGGTCAGAACATAGGTAGGTGGGGAAGACAGAACAGAATGCTGGGAGGAAGAAAGTAGTGAGGCAGACGTCATAGCTCCCCTCTCCAAGATGGAGGCAAGTTAGAATCTTCCTGGTAAGCCACCACCTCATGGTGCTACACACATTAATAGAAATGGGTTAATCAAGATGTGAGAGTTAGCCAGTAAGAGGCTAGAGCTAATGGACCAAGCAGTGTTTAAAAGAATACAGTTTGTGTGTTGTTATTTCGGGTGTAAAGTTAGCCATGCGGGAACCGGGCAGGATGAGGCCTGCTCGCCTCATCACTACAAGAACCTAACAAAGAAACTCCATATCTCAGTGCTAAGGCCAGGTAACAGGTGTGAGCTTCAGGATCACAGAGTGGGGTTGTCACTTCAGGTTACACAGGTCTGGTGACAGCAGGGGAAAGAAGCAGCAGTTGCTTAATAGTGCAGTAGAATCACAGCTTCCAGAACCTCCCATATCTCAGTCTGGACAGCCCCCCAGCCATGCCCTCAGCCCCTTACTGGGGAATCTAGGCTGTCGCTCTACCTGAACCACATCTCCAGCCCAAGAAGTTTCTAAACAACTTTCTAAATAGACACTTCTATGGGGCTGAGGACATGGCCAGGAGGGACCCTGGCCCAGCATCAAAAAAAGAAAAAAAAAAAAAAAAAACAACCAGATAGATTTTCCACATGAACAGTGTCCAGAAACACTTATCCGAACTTAACGAGTTAATAGTTCTCTAGAAGAAAATACAACGGAACGCAAACCCCATGACAGCACAATTCCTCTCCAGAATGAAGGGAAGCCTTGTCTCCCCAAACCATGGTCCTAAGCAGAGGAAGGCAGAAAGGCATCCAGGCTATACAAGGTTAGGGGATCAGCCAGCAGCGACATGAGTCTTTGTTCTGATAAGAGAGTGAAGAGGTCAGGAATGCTAAGGGTGGAAAGGACGCAGTCGATGGCAATGCTTGCAGCAGCTGCGCAACCCTGGGCTTCAGTCTGACCTGGTTCAGTGACATCATCAGACTCTCTTCCACTCGCTGGAGCATCCTGCTGTAAAACGCTATTATGGCTCGGTTCAGTGATGCACACGCGTGATCCTAGCTCGAAATGGGTTGAGGCAAGGGGATTAAAGGTTCTAAACCAGCACAGACCGCATCATGACAGTCTCAAAGACAAAAACAAAACAAAACAAAAAACCTGATGTGGTGGTACACAATTGGGATCTCATCTCAGCACTCAAGAGAGCCTGAACTAGCCTAGGGTACTTGAGACCCTGTCTAAAAACAACCAAAAAGAGGGGCTAGAGAGAGGGCTCAGTGGTTAAGAGCACTGGTCACTCTCAAAAGACCCAGCACCCATAAGGCAGCTCACATTTGGCTCTAAGTCCACAGCATGCACATGGTGCAGACATGTGTGTAGGCAAAATACCTATACACATAAAACAACAATATATACAAGACAAAAACATCAGGGCTGTGGTGGCGCACGCCTTTAATCACAGCACTTGGGAGTCAGAGGCAGGCAGATATCTGTGAGTCTGAGGCCTGCCTGGTCTACAGAGTTCAGGGACACTCAGGGCTACATAGAGAAGCCTTGCCTCCAAAAACAAACCAAATAAAAAAAAATGAGCAAAAACAAACCAAAATGAAAACTCCCCTAGTGAGCCAGCTGTGGCTGCCCTCAAATACCTCCTCTTAGCCTCTCAGCTGGTCCCTTATCTCAGCACCGATGGCATGGCGACCTCTGGATCTCCTGCATTTCAGCATTGAGCTCACCTCACTCAAACAGACTTGGAAACATGAGCCTTCGGAGTATACTGCCAATATCACAAGCAATAATGTCATGGCCACCAAGCAGTAATGGAGAGGTGGCCCCAAAGTCACTTTATTAACAATCAGCTTGAAAGTACAGCAAGGTGTCTGCTCACTTGTCACCACCAGCAACTCTTCCAGAGAGGCCAAACATGTCACCCAGGCCCTACAGGCTATCAGCTTAGGGCCTAAAGAGGACGCTGGTGTCCTTGGGGCAGGACTGACTCTTTCAAGTCCTGGGGTGACTTCAGCTGCCCCAGGTGGACCCTGTCATGGGGTTGGGGGGAGCATTTGGAAGCAAGACTTCACTGGCCCCAGCATGGCCCTGCAGTGCAAAAGCAGCTGCTCCCTGTCACAGCCAGCCCTGCCCCCAGTTCATGATCCCACTGATTAATAACAATCCGTACAAATCAAACCAAAGCAACCCCTAAAAAGTCAACCCAGCAGTCAGGACAGGCTTCTGAGATGCTGGGAGAGGTGGGATGCCAGGACAAATGAAAGATTAGGTGTGTCTTTCTCCTACGGGAGCATGACTTTGTCCTGAAATCCCAGAGCAGAGCTGGAACCATGGCTGATGAGGGTCAGGTGGCTGGGAAGTGGGCCTTCTCCACCCAGATGAACTTGAGCCTTCTGGGAAAGTCCCTGGTTTTCCGGTGAGAAACATTCTTGAAATCATCAGAAACAGAAACGGAGCCCAGACAGCCAGTGAGCTCTGTCTGGGTTCTCAGGAGCCGAACAGTCTGAAAAAGTCAGGGAGGAGAGCGGCCATGAGGAAGGGAAGCAGGACACACACTCAAGACCAGCCTGGGCTACATGGCAAGACTCTATCTCGAGCACACTGTTGGGGGTTACATTCCATGATCATCACCTAGAATCATTTCAGGAGGTCTCATCATTACTGTCAAACTTGACGGCTCGAGTTTGAGCCACAGAACAACATGGTGGAAGGCGAGAACCAACTCCTGTAAGCTCCTGTAAGCTCCCCTCTGACCTGCACACGTGCACTGTATAACGTGTGCGCCCCACCCCCCACACTCACATTTCACACTGGGGCCTGTCTGCCAGGGGCCGATTCAGATCCATACCACACTATCTAAAAAAATCACTCAGGGTCCTAGGACCCACAAGTCTGTGGTAGAGCTATCGTAAGTTTGAGGGCAGCCTGGCCTACACAGTCAGACTCCATCCCCAAAAATTATGCCAGGCGTGATGGTATACTCCTTTAATGCTAGCACTTAGGAAGCAGAAGCCAGGTGGATCTCTGTGAGTTCCAGACCAGCCTGGTCTACAGAGCGAGTTCCGGGCCAGCCAGGTCTACACAGTGAGATTCTGTCTTAAAAGACCAAATAAATAAATCAAATCTAGCCGGGCAATGGTGGCGCACGCCTTTAATCCCAGTACTCGGGAGGCAGAGGTAGGCAGATTTCTGTGAGTTCGAGACCAGCCTGGTCTACAGAGCTAGTTCCAGGACAGGCTCCAAAGCCACAGAGAAACCCTGTCTCGAAAAACCAAAAAATAAATAAATAAATAAATAAATAAAAATAAATCAAATCTAAGAGAGTGGCCATAAAACAGAAGCCAATTGTGACCGTTCCTGATGGCTTCTACCAAGGCCTTTGAGAAAGGAGTCCACAGACTGCTGGACATGGGAGCCACCACCCACTATAGGTTAACACAAGCAGCAGGAATGGGACAAACATGGACAGGTGGGACCTGGAGCCCACACTCCAACCTTGTTACAAGCAGCCTGGCAGAGACCCAGCACCCTCACAAGTCACCCAGGGGTTGGCAACATGCATCAGTGGGCGCCTGCTGTCAAGTCTGACAACCTGAGATGGATTCCCGAGACCCACATGATGGGAAGAGAACCGACAAGCACCGAGCAGGGCGGGACTCACACAATCATGCAGAGCATCATGAACACATTCCACAGGGCGATGAAGATCCGGAAGTACCTCAGGCTCAGTAAGAACTCCCGGATGTTGTCTCCTGTAAAGCCAGAAAGCATGGTTCAGAAGGCCATCCCCCTGCTCACTGCTATCCAAATGGTGGCAGTTCCAAAGACTCTGACTGGTGCTAGAAAAGGCACGTGACTTAAGTCTGTCTAATAAGAGTCTGTCCTGGGACGTGGGCTCTAGTTATCAGGTCCAGGTTTGCTAGACTGAGAATTTGCCAGCTCTGGGTCCACAGCACAGCATAAACCCAGCACCTGCCACCACTCTTGTTTGCCTACTTGGTTGTTTTGTTGATTTTTTAAAATGTTGACTTTTCATTCATTTAATATTTAATTTAGATTTTTCAAGACAGGGTTTCTCAGTGTAGTACGAGTGGTCCTGGAACTCCCTCTGTAGACTGGGCTCGTCTTAACTCACTGAGATCCGCCTGCTTCTGCCTCCTGAGTGCTGGGACTAAAGGCATGTGCCACCACCAGCTAAAATGTTGACCTTTTTTTTTGTTTTGCTTTTTTTTTTTTTTAAATAGTAAGGCATGTTCAAGTCAGAGGGCAGACTAGGGGTCAATTCTCTCCTATAGTGAGAAACCTGGGGATTGAACTCACACCATCAGGATTGGTGGCAACTGCCTTTGCTGGCTGGACCATCTCAGTAGCCTCTGCAGGTTAGGCTTTGAGACTAGGTCTCTCCAGGGCTGAGGCTGGCTCGGAGTCTGAACTGCCTCCACACTGCCTGCTCAGCCCCCACCAAGTAAGACCTCAGAGGCCCATCACCTGTCCTGATTTTTAGCTGAGTTTTGTCTTGTTTTGCTTTGCTTTGTTTTTTGGAGACAGAGTACCACGTAGCCCAGGCTAGCCTTGAACTCACTATGTAGCTGAGGATGACCTTGAGGTCCTGATCCTCCTCAAGTGCTGGGAGGACAGGTGTGTGCCACCATACCCAACTCACTGTTTTTATGACCCGGCAATAATTTCACATCTCAAGTGAGGGGAAAACAGAAAAAACATATTTTTGTGAGACACAAAAATGACACTCGGGCACAGTGGTACCTGTCTGTAACTCTAGCCCTCACCAGGTCTGCCAAGTTTGAGCATCCTGGGCTATATGAGCTCTTGCCTCAAAAAAATCAAAACAACAAAGTGAGCCCAGAGACTGACTTTCTAGAAACTTCTTCCAGGTCTGAAGTCAACCATCCTCCTTGTTTCTCCAGAATCAAAATAATTGCTGATTAGGTGATCTATGGGGTGATCCCAGGGCAGCACCTGCAGGCAAGGGCTGTCTGTGAACACCTGGCAAGCAAGGTTGGAACCGTTGGCAGCCACCTGCCACCCTTGTCCTGCTCTTCTCACTGCGTGCGGGTTCCCATGGCACCCGCTTAGCAGCCAGCAGCACCATTTGTCCGTCTCCAGTGTCGTCTGCTACCGCACCACTGCGACAGGGACAGACACTAGGAGAGATGTTTAGAAAGCACCAGTGAGCAAAGCCCAAACCCTTGTACCAGGCTGGCGGGGTGGCTCAGTGGGTTAAGGTGTTCACATGCCAACCTGGTGACCAGACATCAGCTACAGCACAGGTGTGTGTGTGTGTGTGTGTGTGTGTGCGCGCACGCACACACGCGCATTTCTCATAAAACAAGAAAAACTTAAGACTGTTCCTCACAAACAGGACAGGAGACTGGGCCAGGCCCTGGTTCCTCAGTTCAGACACACAGGGAAAAAAAGACATGTACACCTGCCCAGAAACGCTCCAGGACAACTGGGACATATGTCTGTCAACCTCTTGGGCAGCCAATGAGAAGGCTCAGGTATTGAGGGTAAGAGGCACAGGAGAGTGACTGCAAGTGCATATCTACAGAGGGGACCCACCCGAGGAGCTGCACACGCGTGGCCCCACCCTTCTGTGAGGGTGCTCTGACCAATCCTGTATTGTCAGCCTGGGCACACATCCTCCTGTATGAACAGATGGCTAGGATGATAGCCAGGGCCTGGCTCATGTGCTCATAAAAATGCAGCCACATGGGTCAGACGGCTTAGTGGGTAAAGGGACGTGCCACCAAAGCTGGAACCTGAGGTCAGTCCCGTCCCTAGCAGCAGGTGGAAGAAGACCCCCACAGAGTGACCTAAGTTTGATGCCTGGGACCCACATGACAGAAAGAGAGAATGGACTTCTGCAGCTGTCCTCTGCATGACATCATGAGCACTCCCTCACACACAGGGCATGGGTGCAGGACAGGGGAGGGCAGGAGGAGCAAGGCTGGAGGAGGCCACTGCAACCGCATGCGGGAGAAGGCAGAGGCTCCAGAGGGCCCACAGTCTGACCATTTCTGGGAGGGTAGACAGATGGGTAGGTGGGTGGGTGGGTGGAGGGGTAGGGGATGGGTGAGAAGGTGGATGGGTGGGTAGGTGAGTGGCTGAGAGGGTAGGTGGAGGGGTAGGTGGGAAGGTGGACGGGTGGGAGGGTAGGTGGGTAGATGGGAGGGTAGGTGGGTGGGTCGGTAGATAAAGGGGCTTCCCCAGCACACACTGAACCCTGGGTCCCAATTTCCAGCACCTGATAATCCAGGAGCGGTGACAGGGTCTTGCAACCCCAGCACTCAGGAAGTAGAAACAGGAGGACCGGGAGCTTGAGGCTATTTCAGGCTACAAATAAAACCGACACCAGCCCAGGACACAAGAGACTGTGCCTCCAAAAAAAGGTAGAAAAAAGCAAAGGAAAACCCTGTTTCCAATCCTGACTCTTGCCTCCTGCTCCTTCCAGCCTCAGGCTTTGTTCCACCATGACTGGTCACTCAAAGGGCCTCTGCCACCCTCCTGTCACCCTGTGACACCCTCTGACTGGGATGTGGTGGGCACGCAATAAAGGTGATGAGCAAGGCACGGCACCCCTGCCAGTCCAACACCTAGGAGGCTACCGCAGCTCCACAAGTGTCTCAACCGTAGAAGGAAGAAGATGAGGGAGAACAGGGCCAGCAATCAGACCATGTAGATTGGCAGGAAGCATGCTTACCTGTGCTGGGTTCCCTCGACTCCTCCCCGAAGCCTTGTGTGTCCTTCTTTTTCCTATGGGAACATAAACACCTCTGGGTCTCCTGACCCTGTCACCCAGCACAGAAGGCCAGAACCTACCTTCGACTCGCTGTGTGACCTGAAGCAGTGATACACCTCTCTCAGGGACACTACTCACCAGCCTAGCTGGTGTGCAGCCAGACAGGGGGATCAGAGTGGCCCCAAACGCCGGTGAAAGATATTTTTGAGGGATGAGCATGAGGCTCTTTGGAGGTGCAAGTAGAACCCAGGAACAGAGGGTGCAGATCTTTTCTTTAATACTAATTTGTGACTGAGAGGAATGAGTGTGATATGCTATACAGCATTTGTGTGGTCAAAGGACAACCCACAGGAGTCGGGTCTCAGCTTCTACCATGCAGGCTCCGGGAATCGAACTTAGGTACTCAGGTTTGGCACCAAGCGCCTTTACCCGCTGAGCCACCTCCGGGCCAAGAGACTACAGATTTAAACGTCAAGGCCTTGGTAGGCAGCACGGAGGCGTGGCTAGAGGAGGACTGGAGGGGCGTGGACCACGCTCGGGGCTGGGCTAGCTGTGACCTAGGGCGTGGGCGGGGCCTGGGCGTGGGGACGCCGCCCAGAGCGGCCTACTCACAGTTTAAAGTTGAGAACAGCCCCGGCGTTCATCAGCAGCGTCCTGTGGAGGAATAGTTACGGTCACTAAGGCCGCCCCCCGCCCCGTCCGGCTGCCACTCTCCAGCCTCCGACACCCTCACTCTTATTACCCAAACAGCAGGATGTCTCCGATCATCCTTACAGCCGAGGAGGGCGCCCGAACCGGAAACGGAAGCAGTGGGAAGGGGCGGGAAGAGTCACACGAGGCGACCAATACCGAATCAACACTGACTGGGTTCCGGATGGAGCGTGACGTCACCCATGGGGCGGAGTTTGAGGTGCGCACGCACGCTCCGTGTTGCGTGCCGAGGAGTCCCAGCTGTGGATTCCCCTTGGCCGCGGTTCCGCGTCTACAAGGAAATTGTGCCCTTGATCCCTGAACCACCCCGGAGACGGAGTGCGGGCTTTGTGGGCTCCTTGGCTGCACGCCGGCTCAGAGTGCACACAGTTGCGGGTCAGGGTGTTCCCCGTGCCTGGGCTGTTCCCAGGGCCTTGGGCAATGACGGTCCTGATCGGACAGACCTTACAGAACAGGATGGGTGGAGGTTCTGACCTATGGGATCTAATGGGTCCCTACCTCAGTGTACCCTATGGGACACCAGGGTCTGGGCTGGAGTCCACAGAGGAGTTCTGTGGAGCCTCTTGAGACAAGATTCTCACTGAACAAACTAAATAGGACATGAGGGTTTGGGTTGAAGGCGCCTTGTGGGAGGCGGAGTCCTGACTTGCACATCCACGTGAAGAGACGGGCTCCTCAAGAATAAAACATGAAATTCTTGGCTGAGGTCCGCCGAGGCGGGGATCTGATCGGCGGGCATCTTGGGGATAACAGGGGTCGGGATTAGGCTAGTTCCACGGAGGAGAGACAGGGTCCTAACAGCTGCACAAGGACCGGAGTCCCGCTCGAGTGGGCTGGATGCAGGGGACAGACCGGCGGGCTGCGCAGCAGAACCGTGTTCTGGCCGCTCTGCGGCCCTGCGCCTTGCGCTGAGTGGCGCAGGCGGCCCCATCGCCCCTCCTCTCCCGGGGGCCGGGCCGGGGGCGGTGCCTGGCAGCGCTGAGGGCTCAGTGGCGGGGGCGCAGTCGCCTGGGCGGCGGGCGGCGGGACGCACCGGGTCAGGGGCCGGAGAGGTACCCGCCAACGCCATGGACCTGATATCAGCGCTGAGCCTGGGAGAGCTAGCGCTCAGCTTTTCACGGGTGCCGCTCTTCCCGGTCTTCGACCTTAGTTACTTCATCGTCTCCATCATTTACCTGAAGTATGAGCCAGGTGAGTAGGGGCTCCCAGGAGAGAGGTTGTCCATCTTTTGATGATGGAGGCGCGGAGGAGGCAGAACTGATCCTGGGACTGGATAGGAAGGAGGCAGAGTGCTCCCACGCGCGCGCAGGTGGAGGAGGTAACCCCGGGGATGGAGGAGCTGTGCAAAGCGGGCTGCAGATGGGTAGAACGGAAGGAGAGGCGAGCGCTTGCTTACTGTAGGGAGGACAGGTGCTATGGGGTTTGGGTGGGGTTGGGGTTGGAAAAAAGGCTAGGAGTCGGGTTAGACGAGGCTTCGTGAACTTGAACTTGGGCAAGGGGCATTGATGGTGGCGAAGGTTGCAAGCAAGAGTTGGCTTTGCCCGGGCGAGGTCAGATGTTCTGGACGTCGGCTGCCATGACCTCCCTTCACGCCCTTGGAATGACTGCCGAGTGACTATATAAGGACTGACCATGCTGGGGGCTGCGATCAAGTTCAGGGAAAGTGACACCGGTGTCCCCTCTGTACCGCATCTCTTGGCATCCTCTTCTCCTCCCTTCCCGTTTGTCGGTTGGGCCAGCTCTGGCCTGGGATTCTTCCCACTTAGGGAGCTGAAGCGGTTCCAGGATAGGGCAACTTTAGGTCAGGCTGCTCTCAAGAGTCACGGAAGGATAGACCCTACTTCTTTGATTTAAAAAACCAATTAATTACTTTTATTTATTTGTGTGTTTTGGACATGTGTGGAGGTCAGAGGACAATTTGCAGAAGTTGTTTTTCTTCGGTCATCACGTGGGCCTCCCGATGGAACTCTGGTGGTCAGACTTGTGGATGGGCTCCTTTAGCAGCAGAGCTAGCTCCTCTCTCCCACCCCTCCTCCACCCACTCTGTTTAATGAGGGCAAATGTAGCTCACTCTGTTAATGCCAGAACTCAGGACCTAGAGGCAGGGAATAGCAAAGCTAGCTCCAGGACAGCCAGGGCTGCACAGTGCGTTCTTGGCCAATTTGACTACAGACCGTCTCAAAAATAAATAAACAGACAGCGCCTCCCTGGAGTGTTCTATTTTTACACAAGTTCAGCAGAAGCACTTGTGTCCTGTTCAGCTCCCGTAGCTTTAGTTATTCTACGGAACCTGCAAGTTTGAGGGTCAGGATAGTTTCCTTCCAGGAAAGTGTAGGACCCTTTGAGGGCGCATATGTAAATCAGTTCTTTCTGAGGTGACAAAAATAGCCTGCAATGTTTACTTAAATATGGGGACCTTCAAGATGGCCCACAAAATGGAAGGGGAAAAAATTTAAAAAGGTGTTCCTGTTAGCTTCGCATGCATCGTTCTCCAGCACTTTCTTGGATGAATTTGTACACGTGTCCGAACAAGCATAAATACATGCTCTTATGCAAAGGGGCTGGAGGCTTGTGAGGCATCCGGCTTGTGTTTTTCTTCCCTTTGCACAAACAAGAGTCTGTGTCTCCAAAAGCTGCTCTGGGTAGCCTTGGCTTTGCAAGGCAAAGTTCTCACTTGTGCTTTCGTTTGGAGAAACTGGGTTTCCCATCAGGGGAATAATTCCTGGTGGCTTCTGCCGAACCCAGCATGCCCCAAGGTCCACCAGGAGGAGACAGGAGCCCCCAGAATGGGCTTAGTAAAAAGTGTGCTGAAAATGGGGGAGGGATTCAGCATTGTTATTTTCAACTCTTTTCATGTTTTTATTGTGTGTGTGTGGGGGGGGGGTGAGTGTGCCGGGATGTGCATGCGGAGGGCAGAGGACAATGTGGCGCAGCTGTCCTTCTTTCGGTGTGGATATGGGCGTGAGCCCAAGGCTTGGCAGTGAGTATCTTTGCCCAAAGTGCCATTCACTGCCCCCTTTATTTGTATTTTAAAATCTTTTCAGTTATCATCATCATCATTATTAACTCATGTGTGTATACATGTGTGCCACAGAGGTCATGGAGGTCAGACGACAGCTTTGTGGAGGGATCAGAGGTCATGGAGGGGTCAGACGACAGCTTTGTGGAATCAGCTCTCGTCTGACATTTTTACATGGGTTCTGGGGATCACACTCAGGTGGTCACTGGGTAGCAAGTGCTGTTACCTCTGAGCCCTCTTGCCAACCCCTATTTAATAAAACAAAACTAGGGCTGCATGCCTTTAATTCCAGCACTTGAGAAGCAGAGACAGTTGGATCTCAAGATCTCTGGAGTTCAAGGCCAGCCTGATCTACAGAGAGAGTTCCAGGACAATCAAGACTACATAGAAAACCCTATCTCGAGAAAAACAAAACAAGACAAAACACCAAAAAAAACCAAACAAAACAGGGTTCACTGCATAGCCCAGCCTGGACTCAAACTCAACGATCCTCTTTCTTCAGCCTTTCCTGTGCTCGAATTCTAGATGAGATCCATGTCCATTCTTGTCTGAATATTTCTGCAGGGGTTTCACAGTAAACCATCTGTGCCGCAAGTGTAGGTAGGAGTTAGAATGTTCCAGAAGGTTTGGGATTTATTCCCGAGAACTTCATTAGTTTCTTAACCTTACCTGCACAGCAGATTTCTAGGGTCTTTTAAAAGTCCATTTCCACCCAGAGTTTGTGGTACACACTTTTAACGCCAGCACTTGGGAGGCAGAGGCAGGTGGATCTCTGAGTCTGAGGCCAGACACTGTAAAATCAGCCTCAACCTAGTGCAGTGCCCACCTATTATCCCACCACTCAAGAAGCAGAAGCAGAAAGGTGACAAGTTCAAAGCCTTAGCCAGATCCTGTCTCAAAATAAAATTGTATTAATTTTTTTAAATTATGTATGTAGGTCAAAGGGCAATGTAGGTTTCAGGTCTCTCCTTTGACCACATGGGTCCCAGGGATTGAACTCAGGTCATGAGACCTGGTGGCAAGTATTACCTGCTAAACCATCTTGCTGGCTCTCAGGGGGAAAATATCTATGTGTGTGTGTGTTTTGTTTTCATTTTTGAGAAAGGGTTTCTCTGTGTAGCCCTGGATATCCTGGAACTCACTCTGTAGGCCAGGCTGACATCAAATTCACAGATCCGCCTGCTTCTGCCTCTTAAGTGCTGGGATTAAAGGCGTGTGCCACCACAGCCTGGCAAGATTAATTTTCATTTATTTGTGTGTACTCAGCAAGAGGGACAGCCTAGAACCCCCCAGTGTGGGGCTGCAGCCTAGAACCCCCCAGTGTGGGGCTGCAGCCTAGAACCCCCCAGTGTGGGGCTGCAGCCTAGAACCCCCCAGTGTGGGGCTGCAGCCTAGAACCTCCCGTGTGGTGCTGCAGCCTAGAATCCCCCCCCCCCCCGCGTGGGGCTGGGGTGGGGCTTGTTGGTAGAGCTCTTGCTGAGTGTGCAGAAGACCGTGGATTCCATCCCCAGACTCTAAAACCCAGACTGGTTTAATCAGAATACCTGCATGCTTGCATTTGAAGCCCATCCCCACCCATGTTTGCTGCATATCTGCCTGGAATAACTCCTTCAATATTTGGGGAACAGGATGTCGAGGGTCGAAGTAAACTAATATGTAGTGAGCCCGCAAGTCCCAAGGGACTGAGACTCATACCCAGGTCCCTGTGACTCCCAGAATAACAGATTAGGCTGCAAGAACTGTTCTTTTCACCCTTCCCTTAGGAAATCAAGGTGGTTGATGAGCTGCCAGGCAACACATACCTGTTATTTCGGCAAACAAGACTGACCCAAAGAACCTTAGTGTAGGCCAGCCTGGGCTTTTTCTCAGCCAAAGATGGTGGCACATGCCTGTAATTCTAGCACTCAGGCAGAAGCAAGTGTATCTCTAGATTTTAGACCAGGCTGGTGTGTACAGTGAGTTCCAGGACAGCCAGAGATCATGTCTTCACTGCCCCCCCCCCCCACCAAACAATAAAATAAAAAAGATGGTGAAGTATTCAGGAGGCAGAGATCGGGTCCTCAGGACAAGCTGGCTCCATATGTGCAGACACACATGTGCACAAAGCCCCTGCATATGCATCGTGTCGTCCCCCCATTCAAACATACATGCTCGACACACACACACACACATACACATGAAACAAAAGGAACAGGTGAGGGCTTCTGAGGTGGGACCAGTCTGCTTACACTAACTCAACAGTCAAACTGGCCCCCATGCCTCCATTTCCCCTTGCCTGTCTGTGACTTGGGCTCATTGGCAAATTGACCCCATTGCCCTGTTGTCTACAGGCATGTAGTCCAGTGATATGGAGATCTGGATTTTGGGTGTCTGGGAAATCAGTAAGAATTGGTTCTATGCACTTGGAAGGCTCTAGAAGAACGTGGGGACTGGTGTTTTCTGGGTCAGGCTTTCCAGAGAGTTCTTTTGCAAGAAAACTCAGAGTGTTTAGAGATGCAGGACACTGAACCGAACCAAAACTGCCCAAGAGAGCTTGTTCCAAATACCACTCAAGGGGATGGTTTCTAGAAGGGAGGAACTAAAATAAGTCAGGGCTGCTTGTTAAAGTGAGAACTCAACCCCAGCCGCTATGCTGTGTGTTCCCCCACCACATCCAACCTGCAGCGGAGGGAACCCAAGGCTGGGTGCCTGTTAGGAAAGTACCTCACCAACCGAGCTGTGTCGTTGGTACCAGTCTAAGCTGGTTTTATGTAGCCCAGGCTGGACTAAACTTGCTCAACAGCTAAAAAGGACCTTGAACTCTTGATTCTACTGCCTGCATCTCCCAAGTTCTGGGACTACAGACATGCCCAACAATAACAGACTTCATTGTTCTTTTAGGCCTCACTATGTAGCCCAGGCCGGCCTCAAACTCATGATCATCTTGAGTCCTGCGTGTTGTGATTCCAGCCACCACGCCTGGTTCCTGTGTGATGGCGATGGAATCCAGGGCTTCAGGCATACTAGACCAGTCCTCTGCTCCCTGAGCTACAGCACCAATTAATAGACAAGTTTATTTTTTAAGCTGAAAAATACAAAGCTTTGGGGCTTCGGTTGTGGCTCCTGAGCTATGCTGTTCTAAGTCTGTGCAAGGAATAGCACCAAAAAACCATAAAGAGGGCAATTTTTACATCTCCCGCAGGCCTCCCCAACCACTAATCTTAAGGACCAGGAGACACTGGGGATTCTAGGCAAGGCTCCACCCCCGAGCCACACCCCTAGCCTCTCACTGGGGGATTCTAGGCAGAGGTGCTACTGCTGGGCTATTCCTTGAGCTCACAGTGGGTGGATTTATCTGGTGTGTGAAATTTCCACCCCCCAGATATTTCAATCTCATGCTAGGTCCCAGAATATCTCTGGCATAATTGCTAAGGGCTAAGCAGTTTCTTTTTGTCCTGGTAGGCGATCTTTGATAGAGCCAGGGAGCCTAGGCTTCTCCAGGTTCTAAGTGACTGAACCTGACATCTCAGCAGTGGGGAGGTTGAGGCAGGAGGCTGGCAAATTAACGGCTAGCCTGTATTAGAGTGAAATACCATATCAAAATGAATAAAGAGGGCTGGAGCAATGGCTCAGCAGATAGGGCTGCTCTTGCAAAGGATCTAGGGTCCCTCGCAACCACCTGTGATCCAGCTCCAAGGGATCTGACGCCCTCTTCAGGCCTCAACAGGTACTTATTCACAGGATCCACAGACACATGTACATGCAAGCATTTATACACATAAAATAAATCTTTTCAAAATAAATAAAGATAATGAGTTGAATCATTATATCTCGAAGGCTATATGAGCTCATCCCTCTGCCTTTTGACAACCAAAGAGACAGGCTGGCTGGAGACTGGTGGCAGACACTTGCTCAGGGCTACATAGGCCTGAGTAGCAGAGTGAGGGGGTCAAGACTTTACATAGGAGGTGCTTAGGAAGCAAAGCCTGTTAGCCCCTCCCCTTCAGCTGTCTCTAGGATGGTCCCAAAGGGCACAAGAAACACCCTGGAATAAGACTGCCCCTGGCAGCTATTTTTAGAAGCACATGCAAGTGTCTTTTCTGCAGGGCAGGAGGGAGGGCTTCAGTAGCCTTGACCCTGTGGACTCACCAGCTGCTCTGGGATTAGTTCTCAGGGGAAGCAGTACTTTAAATAGATGCAGGAAGGGGTGTTCTTTCCCCTCCCCTCTCCCTCCTCTTCTGTCCCCTTTCCTCTCTCTCTCCTCCCCTCCTTTTTTTTTTTGAGATTGTAAGTATATACCAGGGTACTTGACAAGGCTGGTTATGCTTCTGTGTGTTCCTGAGTACATGCATGCACGTGTGTGTGCGGGAGTTGGCTCATTCTTCCCACCATATGTATTCCATAATCCATCTTGGTGGGTGAGCTGTCCCCACTGAGCCTCCTCCTCGCCAGCTTCTGGGTCTCATGATTTCGAAGGATCTGAATTCCTGTCCTCACGGTCTCACAGCCGCTCACCTGCCCTGGCTGTTCTCTGCGGCCATTAGTAAAAGATGGCGTCATTTACCTTGTTTTGTCCACACTGGGTGGAGTTTCTTAAAGGTTGCATTTATGTTTTGAAGTGATTTTGTTTGTTTGAAATGATTTATTTATTATATCTGTGTATGTGTTTGTGCGTGTGTGGAGAGCACGTGTAGACTCGGTGACATCTGGGGAAGTTGGTTCTCTCTACCGTGGGGTTCTGGGGATTGAACTCATCAGACTCGGAGGTGGTCGGCCTAGACAGGACCGTCTTGCTGGCTCATTTCCACTGTGATAACAATACACAGATGTCTTTGCTGACAAAGAGAAAAGAGGTTCAGGGGCTGAGGCTATGGCTCAGTGGGAAGCCCTGGGTTCCATCCCCGGCACTGAAGGTTGGCTTGGCTCAGTTTGAAGCCTGAAAGTTTAGAAGGGAGACTCCCTGTTTGGCCTTGTGGGAAATCACAGGGCAGTAGACACTCAGGGGAAAGGCAGAGGTGGCAGAGGCCAGCAGGGCCACCCTGGCCAGGTTGCTTTTTTTTTTCCCCCCTTTGAGACAGGGTCTCGTGTACCCCAGGCTAGTCTAGAATGTCCCCTGTAGCGAGGGATAACCTTAAATTTAAGATTCTTGCCAGGCAGTGGTGGCACACACACCTTTAATTCCAGTACTCAGGAGGCAGAAGCAGGCAGATCTCTGTGAGTTCGAGGCCAACCTGGTCTACAAAAGCTAGTTCCAGGACAGGCTCCAAAGCTACAGAGAAACTCTGTCTCGAAAACAAACAAACAAACAAACAAAATACCCTTAAGATTCTCCTGTTTCCCTTCCTGTGTGCTGGGATTACAGGCCTGCATCAACCACACTGACTTTATACGGTGCTATGGGTGGAACCCAGGACTCCAGCGTGCTACCCACTGATCCCCAGCCCAGCTATGCCTCTGAAACCACCACATTCTCCCAGGATGTATCTCCAGCAGGCTAGCCTTGGTATCCCAGACCTAATTCCATACCCTACACCCAATTCTTAAAGGATCCTCACCTCTAAGCCCAACACCTTGGGGACCACTTTCCCAATCCATGACCCTTGGGGGTCTGATCGCCTTCTCCACCAAATGAAACTGGTCAGAAAAGGAGGGACTCTCCAGTATAAGCTGTTACACCAGGGGACACCCAATGGTGGCTCAAGGGTGTGGCTTTATGAGATGGGGATGATGTTAACTTAAGAATAGAGCCTGAGTTTACTTATTTGAGACAGGGTTTCTCTGTGTAGCCCTGGCTGCCCTAGAATTTACTCTATAGACCAGGCTGACCTTGAACTCACAGATCTGCCTAAGTCGTGGACCACCATGCTAGGCTGCTTTTATTTCTTGTGTGTGCGGGGCGAGTCAGGTCTCCCCCATGCAGGTCCTGGGATGGAACACAGCTCATCAGGTTTGGTGGCAAGTGCCTTTACCAGCTCAGTGGGCCCTGATGAAATTAAATGAGTTTTTCCTATAAATGCCTCACCCCATCTGAGACTTCAGATGGCTTCCTCAGTAGGTACTGGCTAATCGCCACTGCCTCTTCCCTACCTTGGTGGTAGAACTCACGCTCAGCTTGCAGCTGGTTTCACAGGGGAAGCCCTGGGTTTAATCTCCAGCACCCAGAGGGCTAAAAGGGCAGCCTGCCTGCAGGTGTTGTCATGCTCCTGTAGTCACTCTTCCATGCCTTGCAGGAGCTGTGGAACTGTCCCGTCGCCACCCGGTGGCGTCCTGGCTGTGCGCCATGCTGCACTGTTTTGGGAGTTACATCCTGGCTGACTTGCTTCTCGGGGAGCCCATCATTGACTACTTCAGCAACAGCTCCAGCATCCTGCTGGCCTCTGCTGTGTGGTAAGCACCTGGAGGCCCTGGAAAGGCTGAGCCTGGGGTCAGGGAGGAGGGAGGTTAAAGGAGCAAGGACCCCAGTCGCCAGATGCTCCCCAGGATCTCCTGCTGGGCTATCCTTCCTCCTGACCCCAGGTCTTCTGTCCTCAAAGGTACTTGATTTTCTTCTGTCCCTTGGACCTCTTCTACAAGTGCGTCTGCTTCCTGCCCGTGAAACTCATCTTCGTGGCCATGAAGGAGGTGGTGAGGGTTCGGAAGATTGCCGTGGGCATCCACCATGCACACCACCACTACCACCATGGGTGGTTCATCATGATTGCCACTGGCTGGGTCAAAGGTAAACAGAACTATGACAAGGAAGATAAAAAATCCCCACAGGGGTCCCGTGAGACAGTCCAGTGAGGTGGTCAGTGAGATGGTCCAGTGAGACGGCCCAGGGAGACGGTCCAGTGAGAGACAGTCCAGTGAGGCGGTCCAGTGAGATGGTCCATTGAGACAGTCCAGTGAGGCGGTCCAGTGAGATGGTCCAGTGAGAGACAGTCCAGTGAGGCGGTCCAGTGAGATGGTCCAGTGAGATGGTCCAGTGAGGCGGTCCAGTGAGATGGTCCAGTGAGATGGTCCAGTGAGGTGGTCCAGTGAGACGGCCCAGGGAGACGATCCAGTGAGATGGTCCAGTGAGACAGTCCAGTGAGATGGTCCAGGGAGACAGTCCAGTGAGATGGTTCAGTGAACCCAGGGAGACGATCCAGTGAGATAGTCCACGGAGACGGTTTAGTGGTAAAGAGCTTGCAGCAAAAGCCTGTTGGCCTGTTTGATTCCTAAACCCACGCAGGAGAGAACTGACTCCCACAGGTTGTTCACAGCTCACCACATGGGCTCCGTGGCCCATGCACCTTCACACACCATGTGCAGTAACAATGAAGTTAATAATAATAGGGGCAGCAAGATGGCTTAGGGGAAGAGTGCTTAGTCCCCAGAACCCACACAGTGGAAGGATAGAACCAGCTCCTGAGAGTCGCCCTAGTCCTCTGACCTCCACACCTGTGTTACAGTTTGCTCATGTACATGGACACACTCCCCACTACCCCAAAAAGTATAAGTAATATGTAACTTCTTTTTCAGACAGAGTCTCTCTTTGTAGCCCTGGCTGGCTTGGAGCTCATTATGTAGACCAGGCTGGCCTTGAACTCACAGAGATTCTCCTGCCTCTGCCTCCCGAGAGCTGGCTGAAGGTGTGCGCCACCACACCTAGATAAATGTAATAAAACAACTGTAGGGGCTGGCAGGAAGGCTCGGTAGGTAACTGATTCCTGCCAAACAAGGTAAGCTCAAGCCTTGGATCCCACAGAAGGGAAGGAGAGAACTCACTTCATGGTTGTCCTCTGACCTCTGCATTACAGCTGTGGCATGCTGACACCCATACACAAAATTAACAAATAAATAATAAAATCATAAAAAGAAATTATTAATTTTTTTTCAGTAAGTGAGATCACAGCAGTTAGCTGGGCGTAAGGGTGGGCTCCTGTCATCCCAGCATTTGTGATGATGAACCAGGGAGGACTAGGCCTGGGCACAGGGAGGTCAAGACAGTCCCTTGTGGCTGGGGACACATCCAATTGCTTCTTGCTGGTTTGCCCCGACTGTGCCGTACGAACCTGGGTAAGGCTTTGCTGTGAGCCTCATTTCCCCAGCTGTCAGGGATGGTCTTCTCCAGACTCAGAGACCCCTCATGAAGAGAAGGCCCTTTGTGTCCTTGGGAACTGAGGCTAGGAGAAACGGGGCGTGCGGTGGCAAGCTAGTTCAGTGGTGCCCTCCCCACAGGCTCTGGTGTTGCCCTCCTGTCCAACCTGGAACAGCTGCTTCGAGGAGTCTGGAAACCAGAGACCAATGAAATCCTGCACATGTCCTTGTAAGTACCCCCTGTGGCCTCTGCCCCTCCTCCCCTGGAGACACTGCTGGGGTAAGGACAGGAAGACTTTCTGCAGAGGTGATATTTGACTGGGGTTTTGAAGAGTGAGTAGGGGTTTTCTGGCTACAAAAGACTCCCCACCCAGAGCCTAGCATCACTGCTAATTGTCAGGTTAGAAAAGGTGCATGGCCAGGGTGCAGAACATGAGTGGAAGGAAGGAAATGGAGTGGGATGGAGACTGGACAGGCAGACAGACAGACCATGTGGTGTGGAGGGCCGAGGGAATGACCCTTGCAGGACCAGTGCGTTGGGCCTGACACATCCTACTTCTCTTTATTCCTTTGTGTGTTTTTTTTTCATTTTCCTGTGTGTCTGTGTGGTGTGCACGTGTGGAGCACATGAGTGCGTGTGTGATGTGTGTGTGCAGACCTTGGGTTGTTCTGTGTGTCTGTGTGGAGCACATGAGTGCGTGTGTAATGTGTGTGTGCAGACCTTGGGTTGTTCTGTGTGTCTGTGTGGAGCACATGAGTGCGTGTATGATGTGTGTGTGCAGACCTTGGGTTGTTCTGGGATCATCAGTTACTTTCCCACCGTATCTGAGGCAGGGTCTCTCAGTCAAACCCCAAGTCCCTGATATGCCCAGGCTCACTACAGCATGGAGCCATCTCCCCAACCTCCAGTTGTTTAGTGCTGGGGAGGGTAGCCTGAAGGTCACCTCTCCCCGACATGTGACCTTTACTCACTGTCCAGGGGTTTGACTGTCACATCTGCCTCCTTAGCCTTTTGTATGGTGACCTCGGCTTCTAGCAGCTGCTGAGCAGATGTGACCCCCTGCACCCAAACCCCATAGCCACCAAGGTCACACTCTCTACACCTAGCTCAGGTGCTCAGCTGGCTTCTTCACGTCCAGTCCCAGACGGTGCCCCAATGGGGCACCCGCATTCTGCAGGGTCTTTACCCCCAACTGACCTAATCTAGATAATCTTGTGCCAAGAGATTTGCCTCTGGGTTGGTTTTTGTTTTGTTTTTCAAGACAGGGTTTCTCTGGGTAGCCCTGGCTGTCCTGAAACTTGCTCTGTAGACCAGACTGGCCTCGAACTCAGAGATTCTCCTGCCTCGATGCCTCCTGAGTGCAGGATTAAAGGCGTGCACCACCACCACCATTGGGCTCCAGGTTGATTTGTCAAACTGAAAGATTCAACATTACCAATCCAGGAATGGCAGTGTGCTCCTTTAATCCCAGTACTCGAGAGGCAGAGGCAGGGGATCTCTATGAGTTCCAGCCAGCCAGAACTACACAGTGAGAACCTGTCCTGAAATGAAAGGGAAGATTCCCCATTATCAGGGTCTGTCACCATCTATACATCCGCAGTCAAGAGATGCTGGTAAACACTGGCTGGAGCCATGGCTCAGCAGTTAAGAGCACAGGCTGCTCTTCCAGGGGACCCGGGTTTGATTCCCTGCACCCACATGGCAGCTCACAGGCATCCGTAACCACATTCATGGGGAATCAGATGCTCTCTTCTGGCCTCCACAGGCCCTGCATACATATGGTTCATAGACACGCATGCAGACAAAATACCCATAAACATTAAATTAAATAAGTAAGACTTTAAAAAAGAGAAAGATTTTGGGTTCAAGAACTTGCATTGGTTTCTCTAGGGTTCACATTTATAGACAGCCAGGCGCAGCAGCACACCCGTCACTCCGTGCTGGTGTAAGAAGCCAGGTGCAGCAGCACACCTGTTGCCCGGTGCTGGTGTAAGAAGCCAGGTGCAGCAGCACACCTGTTGCCCGGTGCTGGTGTAAGAAGCCAGGTGCAGCAGCACACCTGTTGCCCGGTGCTGGTGTAAGAAGCCAGGTGCAGCAGCACACCTGTTGCCCGGTGCTGGTGTAAGAAGCCAGGTGCAGCAGCACACCTGTTGCCCGGTGCTGGTGTAAGAAGCCAGGTGCAGCAGCACACCTGTTGCCCGGTGCTGGTGTAAGAAGCCAGGTGCAAGCACACCCGTCACCCCCATGCTGGTGTCTTAGCTGTTCTACAGTTCCTGGCACATGACCAAGTCATTCATTGGAGCTTAGGTTCCAGAAGACTGAGTCTGTCGTGGTGGGAGACCTGAGTAAGCAGGGGCGTGGCAGCAGGAGCGGGGAGCTCAGGGCTCACATCTTGAACCACAAGCAAGAAACTGAGGTGGCTAAGGCCCTTAGCTCTCAAAGCTAGCCCCAGCACTTCTTCAACAAGGCTACACTTCCTCAACCTCCCCAACAGCTCCAGCACCGGAGACCAGAATGGGTACATTCTCGTTCAGATTACAGCTGGGAATGCAGAGACACTGCCAGCCCACCTAGCAAAACTGGTAGACTCCAGGTTGGGTGAGTGAGAGACTTTGCCTCAAAAATAAGGTGCTAGGCCTGCGAGACAGCTCAGTGGGTGAAGGAGCTTGCAGCCGAGCCTGATGAATTCAGTCCCCAGACCCTACATGGTGGAAGGAGAAACCAGCTCCCTAAAATTGCTTACATGGGTGAGAGACAGAGAGATGCTGGGGTGGGAGCAGAGGAATGCCATGGGTGAGGAGGGGCAATAACTCAGCTCTAGGTGAAAGTACAGATCTTTCCGTCAAAAACGGTGGCCCTCACTTCATAATAAGAGCCTTGGAGACCCAGGAGAGAGAATCCTTTTATTTTACAACCTTGGGAAGTCAGGAGTCATCATAGGGAAAAGGCTAAGATGGCTGTCACCCTGGTTTGGTCACAGACCTTTTCTGTTTCCCTACTGTGTGTCACTACCCCATGAATTCCTCACTAGCTGAGTTCTTCCCCCTAGCATAGTTTCAGCCCCAAATTCCCCAACCTCAATGGGCCTGACCCCCCCCCAAGCTGTCTCATACATGAGCTCAGACCATAACCCCCCAACCCAACATAAACTAAAATGCTCCCTGGTAAGCAGGCCCCAGCCGCCAGCCAGGAAGACGGGTCCAGTGCCTCCTGGCCAGCTGTGACTCTGCTGGGCTTTTAGTGAAGCCTGAACTGAGAATGGAGCATAGTGACCCATGTCTTACACCCCCAGCCCCACCAAAGCCAGCCTGTACGGAGCCATTCTGTTCACCCTGCAGCAGACACGCTGGCTCCCCGTGTCCAAGGCCAGCCTCATCTTCATCTTCACCATGTTCATGGTGTCATGTAAGGTAAGTCCCTGGGATGGGACACTCGCAAGAATTTCATCGGGAGGTTGAGGGATGAGGGTTGAGGAAGAGAATGGGCATTGCAGGTGGGATGGAGGTGCTGCTCCCCTGTATGAGAGACCCCGGGGACAGGAAGCTGAAAGCCACCGTGATGGAAGCAGAAGGAACTTGGGCATTCCCTGTCTTTCTGCCGAGAATGCTGCCCCTAGCTCCCCAAGCGTAGAAGATCCTGCCTAGGGATGGTCCAGCCCTGGAGAGGAGTGAAGCCCTGGAAAGGGAGTGAGTCCTGCTGTGGAGGGGGCAAGAGGATCAACATGAGTTTGAGGCCAGACTGGGCTATGTAGTGGGTTCCAGACCAGCGAGGGTTACCTAGTGACATTCTGCCTCAAAAAATCAGAACAAACCCCCTGGGCCCTGTGGCAGGGAAAAGGGAGGGCCCAGGATCAGGAACTCAAGGTCATGTTCAGCTACACAGTAAGTTAGGGACCTGCCTGGGCTATATAAGACCCTGCCTCAAAATACAACACAAACTAAAAGCAAGCAAGCAAAGACAAGCAAGTGGGGAAAGAGGTTGAAGAGAGAGGATGGAAGGGTGTGAGGGAAGACAGGAGGGAGAGAGAATGATGCTCAGAGCTCTTGAGTGTGGTGGCATGGGGGTCTGGGGGTGGGGAACTGTGAGGGACTCTTCCCAGCTTCAGATGGTTGACACCTATGTTCCCACATGAGCGAAGGCAATGCCTGTCTCTTATGTTCAGACTTGGCTGTATAATGAACAGGATGCTAGCCTGAGCTACATGGTACCCTAACTCAACACCAGCAACAAAATTAGCACCCAAGTGTAGGTGTTGGGAGGGTGACAACTGGTTGCAGCATCCCTGGAAGTTGGGGCTTACAAGCTTGGAGGTGTGGGAAGCCAGAGGGCTATGGCAGGCCCACTCCCCCTCACTGCTCCTTTGTCCGCCCCCTCCCTTGTGTTTCTTGGGCTCCCTTTAGGTGTTCCTGACGGCCACGCACTCCCACAGTTCTCCATTTGATGTCCTGGAGGGCTACATCTGCCCGGTGTTGTTTGGGGCAGCTTGGGGAAGTGACCATCACCATGACAACCATGGAGCACCACATAGCGGAGGCTTGGGCACCCAGCACACAGGCCTGCCTGCCAAGGCCAGGGAGGAGCTGAGTGAAGGCTCCAGGAAGAAGAAGACCAAGAAGGCGGATTAAGGAGCAGCCCCAGGCATCCACAGGATGTTGGGGAGAAGGGTGTGGACTCAGGGAACCTCAGAACTTAGGGGCATACAGAACTCAAGAGCTCCCCTCCACCAGCCTCTACTTCCCTCTCCGCGGTTTGGAGCCATCCGCTGCTCGCAGGGCTGATGCAGGGCTGAGATGCGAGGGTACAGGAGTTGGGTAGGAGTGAGAAGCCCTGCTTTCTGCTAGACCCCCTCATGACGTCACAGCCTGGGATCACACCATCTTCACAGTGCCAGCTGCGGAAGCCCTGGCCAGTCGACTCTTGGTTTTCTTTCTTTGTTCTTTCAAAATATATCTTGTAACCAAAAGCCACGTGGAGCCTCAGTTAGCCAAGTTTTAAGGACATGCTGGGGTGCCCCGTTCTTTCCAGCCAGGACTTCCCTGTGACTCCTTCTGGGCATCTCGGGGCAATTACCTCCTCTGAGCCTCCTGCTTCCTCTCAGTAGCGTGGAGATCCCAGGTCTTCCTGTGTCCAGAGGGTAGAGAATGTCAAGTTTCCTAAGCAGCATCCTGGGCCAGGGAGCCTGCGTGAAGGATGGCACCGTGTGCTTTGTACGTTAGGCCTAGGATGTTTGTGTTTGGGCTCAGAAGGTCTCACAAGTTACTCCACTGAGCAGACAGACCCAGGGCTAACCACAGGCAAAAGGAAGGGAGCCACCTTCATGCGGGGCAGAATGCCCAAGAGCTAACAGCCTTGCACACTCATAACTCATAACACAGCAGGTGTTCCTCATGCCAGTCAGCATCGTTCATTCATTCAGTCATTCAACAAACATGGGTCCACACCTACTCCGTGTGCAGTGTGGTGCTGCTGCTGGGGCGGAGTGGGCCTTGGACAGGGCAAGGGCATCTGGGGGAGGTGAGAGTGGGGCACGGCTGGGCTTGGGCTTCTGGAAGCACCCCGTGTTGCCTTTTTGCAAGAAAGCATCTCCTCATACCTGAGCCTGGAAGCTCCTGGGTTTCCCCATCCTGGTGTCGATCAAAGCTCAGTGTGAGTCATCAGACAATAAATGTGTGAGTGAATCAAGCGCTTCTGCTTTATTCGACCTCAAAATGTAGGAATGCCGTGGGGTCTGTTCTTAGGGACGCTGGGGCCTCCGGGACAGGAGGAAGACCTGAAGCCTGCCATGCAGGGTCAGACACGTCCGTCTTCTTCAAGACACTGGAAAGGTTCACAGTACGTAGGAAGCTGAGGCAGGAGGATGACCACTTCTAAGCCAGCCTGAATTACCAGAGTAACACCAAAAAGAAAGGAAAAACGCAGGACAGACGGGGAAGGTGTGGAGATGGGGAGGCAGGGAGGGAGCATTGCCAGTTAGCACTGTAGCTTTCAGGAGTTGCCCAAAGGGGCCTGGTGGTCCTGGCCGCCCCGTCTTCACCCTGCCTTTTCACAGGAGCTGAAATGCGGAGGCAGGAAGAGTCCTCGGCTCTTGGCAGCACACCCCAGGCATGGGAGCCAGGTGGGTTTGTGCTTTACGGAGCTAGAGCCTTTCCCTGTTCCTGCTTTTTCATTTGCCTAGGAGTTTACCTAGGATGGCAGAACCTGTGTATAAACCGTGGAGGCTCTGATCTCGGCTGGACTCAGAGCAGCTGAGGGGATTTCAGGGGAGCCGCCTGCTGCCCTCCACCCCAAGGCGCGGGGATCTCATATTCTGACTGGACAGACAGGATGGAAATAAAGAGCCTCCCAACCTATTTTGGGAAGAAGGTGTGATAGCCTCTGGCTGGCTTGTGGTCAGGGATCCTTGCCAGGCCCAGCTGCTTTGGTGTCCATGAACAGATGCCGGGACTCTGACAGCCGGATCTTAAATTCAGGTTAATTATAGGATTCAAGCTTGGTAGGATCTGTTGTCTGATACCAAGAACAGGGTTCTTCATGTCATTTAAAAATTCTATTTAATAGTCCTTGAGGAATAGCTTAATGGTAGAGACCCTGTCTAGAATCCCCCAGTGAGGAGCTGGGGTGGGCTCAGGGGTGGAGCCCCTGCCTAGGATCCCCAGTGAGGGGCTGGGGCGGGGCTCAGAGTAGAGCCCTTGTCTAGGATACACAAGGCCCTGGGCTCCGTCTACACCACCATACACACACTGAAAGATATAAGATATACATTCATACTGTGGAGCACAGTGACAAACTGATTTGTTGGTTTTGTTTGTTTGTTGTTTGTTTTGTTTTGTTTTGCTTTTTTCGAGACGGGGTTTCTCTGTGTTTTTGGAGCCTGTCCTGGAACTAGCTCTTGTAGATCAGGGTGGTCTCGAACTCACAGAGATCTGCCTGCCTCTGCCTCCCAAGTGCTGGGATTAAAGGCCTGTGCCACCACCGCCCGGCTGTTGTTTGTTTTTTTTTTTTTTTTTTTTTTGGAAGTTTTATATTTATGTACAGAAAACTCAGCAGTACATTTAACCCAGTTTAGTGGCGAGTTCTTTGGCCTTTGCCTTTTCCAGCTTGGCAATTCGAGCCACAGATTTAGGACCCAGGACGTTGCCTCCCCAGTGGCGGCGGATCTCATCATATCTGTCGTTGTAATTGGTCCTAATAGCTTCCACCAGCTTGGCCAGAGCACCCTTGTCTTCCGAGTTAACCTGTGTGAAGGCAACAGTGGTGCATGTCTTCCTATGGACCAGCCGCCCCAGCCTGGCCTTTCCCTTGATGATGCAGTAGGGGACCCCCATCTTGCGACACAGAGCAGGCAGGAAGACCACCAGCTCAATGGGGTCTACGTCGTGGGCAATCACCACCAGCTGAGCCTTCTTGTTCTCTACCAAAGTGGTGACTGTATTGACGCCCGCTCGAAGGACAGGTGGTCTCTTAGTCGGGACATCCCCTTTGCCGGCAGCTTTCTTCTCAGCACGGGCCAGCAGCCTCTGCTTCTTTTCCTGCTTGGTCTCTGGCCTGTACTTGTGGGCAAGCTTAAGCAACTGGGTAGCTGTTTGCCGGTCCAGGGCTTGGGTGAACTGGTTAATGGCTGGAGGAACTTTGAGCCGCTTATAGAGGATGGCCCTCTGCCGCTGCAGCCTAATGTAGCGGGGCCATTTGACGAAGCGCGTGAGATCTCTCTTGGGCTGGATGTCCTGCCCAATGCCGAAGTTCTTAGGCCTCTTCTCAAACAAAGGATTCACCACCTTCTTCGCCTCCTGCTTCTTCACGACGGCGGGGGCCGGGGCCACCTTCTTCCCCTTGGCCTTCTTTCCCTTGGGCATCTTGCCGGGCTGGAGAAGAGAGCCTGTTGTTTGTTTTGAAACAGGGTTTCTCTGTGTAGCTCTGGTTGTCCTGGAGGTCACTCTGTAGACCAGGCTAGCCCTGAGCTCACTAAAATCCACCTGCCGCTGCCTCCCAAGTGTACTGGGATAAAAGGCGTGCACCACCATGCTCAGCCTCCGGTTTTTATTTTTTAAGCAGTGCCTCACTGTGTCCCTGGCTAACCTGGAACTCTGTGTAGACTAGGCTGGCCCCGTGTGTAGGTCCTACACTCACAAACACTCACAATCTCGGACGGAATCCTGGACCCTGCTCATGCTCAGCTAGTGTCCTGCTGCAGAGCCCCGCCCTCTCACATTCTCTGCCTCTCGTTCTACTTTCTCTGTTTCATCTGTTTTCCCTTATGTCTAGCGATATCCTAGGAGCCTATAGTATTTCCCCCACCACCACCATCCTCTTTCACTTTGCAGAATGTCCTCCAAGTTCATCTGATTTTTACTTTAGATGGGTCTCATTGTAGCCCTGCCGCTGCCTCTAAGGGCTGGTACTGTAGGTGTGCATTCCGTTTCTCTCTCTCTTTTTTTTTTAATATTATTTATTTATTATGTATACAATATTCTGTTGGTGTGTATGCCTGCAGGCCAAAAGAGGGCACCAGACCCCATTACTGATGGTTGTGAGCCACCATGTGGTTGCTGGGAATTGAACTCAGGACCTTTGGAAGAGCAGGCAATGCTCTTAACCTCTGAGCCATCTCTCCAGTCCCCCATTCCGTTTCTCTTTAAAGACGAGCAAGGAACACCAGAGGACTTAGCTGGGCACCAGCCCAGCACATGCTGGCCCCTCTCCAGGTCCCCTGGCCTCCTTCCAGCAGCCACCGCATGCGTGGGCAGACCGCGTTTACAGTGTGGGATTTCTCTGCTGGCGTCCGCCTGGGGCGGCTGGGAAAAGTCCCAGCTCAATTAGCAAAGGAAACCAACATCTAATTGAGCTGGCAGAAGACAGCAGAGAGGTCAGAGGTCAAACATAGGCTCCTGGCAGGCGTCATTGTTTTACTCAGAACTGGTTGGGAACCCGGTGAGCTCCTAGGCAAATGGAAATGCTGCACCAAGGAAAGGCTCCCGTGCCTCGGGTGTCGCCTGCCAAGCATAAGGGCCACTGAGCATTGATACCCCAGATACCATCCCAGAGCAGACTCAGCGTGTACGTGGAGCCCAGGTTCTTTCTTCGCCTTCTTAACAAACACGGCTTCTCACTGTGTCTTTAAAGTTTTATTGGTGTGTGTGACCCCTGACTATTTGTACCGCATCTGTAGCTGCTCTTGGTTGTCACATCGGGATTAAGACATTTCAATCTCCTCAACAGTTGGAAGTATAGATTTTTTTTTTTTTTTTGGTCCTTTCTAGAAAAGAGTTGGTAACTCCTAGACTGGCTGGCTGGCTGGTGTGTATGTGTGTGTGGAGAGAGAGAGAGACAGACAACTAGCCATACCTACTCCAGTACTAAAGAATCTGATGCCCTCTTCTGGTCTCCTCAGGTACTGTGTGCATATGGAGCACAGATGCATGCAGGCAAAATAAAATAAAAATAAGTACCCAGGCACACGCCTTTAATCCCAGCACTCGAGAGGCAGAGACAGACAGATCTTTGTGAGTTTGAGGCCGGCCTGATCTATAGAGCGAGTGCCAGGAGAGGCTCAAAGCTGCACAGAGAAACCCTGTCTCGAAAAAACAAACAACAACAACAAAAAAGAAAAATAAATAAATAAATCCTGATATCATTTTTTTCTGAGACAGGATTTCTCTGTATAACAGTCTTGACTGTCCTGCAACTTGCTTTGTATACCATTCTGGCCTGGAATTTACAGAGATCTGCCTGATGAGTGCTGGGATTAAAGACATACGCCACTATCGCTCTGTAGACCAGGCTGGCCTCGAACTCACAGAGATCCGCCTGTCTCTGCCTCCTGAGTGCTGGGATTAAAGGCGTGTGCCACTACCTGGCTCCCCTTTTCTTCCTTAGGAAAAAAAATAAATTTGCTTGGTGGTGGTGGTGCACACCTTTAATCCCAGTACTAGGGAGGCAGACAGAGACAGGTGGATGTCTGTGAGTTCTAGGCCAGCCTGGTCTACAAAGGGAGTTCCAGGACAGTCAGGGCTATGCAGAGAAACCCTGTCTCAAATATATATATGTGTGTGTGTGTGTGTGTGTGTGTGTGTGTGTGTGTGTGTGTGTGCATATGGTGTTTTGTCCACGTGTGTCTGTTTACCATGTGCATGCCATGCCATCAGAGGCCAGAAGAGGGCAATGGATCCTCTGGAACTGGAATACAGATGGTTGTGAAACTCTACATAGGTGCTGGAAACTGAACCAAGGCCCTCTGCAAGAGAAGCTAGTGTGTTCTTAATCTCTGAGCCACCTTTTTTCTTTTCTTTTCTTTTCTTTCCTTCCTTTCTTTTATTCTTTCTTTTCTCTTTCTCTCTTTCTCTTTTTTTTCTCTTCTTGGCTTCTTGGGGATAGAACCTAGGGACTCACAGAGGATGAGTGGGTGTATTACACACCCGCACCCCTCCTCTCTTCCTGCTTTTAGTTTAGATGAAGGGCCTTGTTAACTAACCCAAACAGGTTTTGACTTCTTTAAAGTTTTTTAGTTTTTTAGTTTAAAAAGTTGTATGTGTGTTTATGGGGTACATAGCATATATGTGCCTGTGTCTGCAGGGGCAGAGGAAGAGATGAGCGTCCTTTATCACTTTTTGTCATTCCCACAACACAGTACCCAGGAGCCTGAAGCCAGGCTGCCAAGCCAGCACTTGTCAGGGACC